CTGTGTCAGCCGGTAGGCTATATAAGACGTGCAGGCTGGGCCTACAAGTATCTACGTAGTTCTATCAATTTGGTGACAGTGGCTATTATTCATATACGTAATATAGCATAGTTCTTTCCCCTAGTTCGAATTCGGGTTTATTCGCTCATAAACTACTGTTTTTAGCATATTTATCTTATTATATCGCGTTGTGGTGGGTTTTTTGCTATTTGAACTTTCAAAACCCAACACCCAAAAAGTATTATGACATTGTTCTTATTACAAGATTAACCAACAAACTTTTTATGCACGGGCCTATCAAGTCGAACTATAGCAAGCTAAGCCGGAGTATCCGGCCTGACTTGGCTTGATTAAGTATATTAAATTTCGGCTTAACTAAGTTAGCTTAACTTGATCTATATATGTACGGACTCTCTTGTTTTGTTTTTTTCTCAGCTTCAGAACCCATTGGCTGTATCACTAGCTCAGCCAGCCTTTCGACATGCTCTCAGCGCCTGGATATTAGTCAAATTACATCAACATTGATCGATGTGGCATGTCAGCAGCATGTTATGCCTAATACTATACGCCTTGTCTTATCTCTCGCTGTTTCTGTCTACCTGAGTGAATTTTTCTCGATGGCGGGATATGAACAGTACAATAAAATCGCCGAATCTACCTCTCTACTAACTGCCGAACACAACTTTGTTGAATAGAATTGTACTTACCATGGTCCTCCTAGTACCCATTGCTGTTTTCCTCCTGGCCATCATTGTCCTGCACGTCCTAACGAAGCTTTGGCTGAACAGATACGTCCTACCTCTGCCACCAGGGCCCAGAGGACTCCCGATCCTGGGAAATGTCAGCGACATGCCCAAGCCGGGTGTGCTCGAATGCCACCACTGGTTCGAGCACAAGAAAAAGTACGGGCCTATCTCTTCTGTGACTGTCATGGGCCAAACCATAGTCATAATCAACGATGCTACTATCGCTCTAGATCTCTTGCGTGACCGCTCTGCCATCTACTCTTCACGACCTAGCCTTACTTTTTCCGGCGACATGTAAGTCTTTCCCATTATGCCATCTTCAATCGAGAATAACTAAGCCGGTGCTAGGGTAGGCTGGCGCCATGTAACCGCCATGATGCCCTACAGCGATACCTGGAAGATCCAACGGCGCAACATCAAAAAGATAACAAGCACGGCCACTTCGCTCGCGGAATTTGACCGCATCCAGGAAACTGAAACTGCGCATTTTCTCGTCAATCTGTTCGAGGCACCAGAGCGTTTACTCGATCATGTAAGACATGAAACTGGCTGTGTTATTTTGAAGATTGTATACGGGTATGATACTAGCCGACATAAGAGGGATCCGCTGGTCGATATGGCGGAGACGACGGTGGCGCAGTTTGCAGAGGCTTCGGTGCCGGGCAGGTGGGCGGTGGATACTTTTCCATTCTGCATGTCTCCTTTTCTTTGTCAACATCTTCTCTTTGCGATTTCTAATATCTTTTTTGTTAGTGAAATATCTCCCCAACTGGGTCCCAGGAACAGACTTTAAGAAGACAGCCCAAGTAATGTCCGACCAATTAACCCAATGCGTAAACCAGCCCTACGCTTTCGTAAGGCAGCGAATGCATAAGGAATACCAGAAACCATCTTTCCTCTCGCAATCCATCGCCACCATCGGTACAGACGCTGACGCAGAATTCATACATAAATGGACGGCGCTAGCACTCTATCTCGGGGGCGCGGATACTGTACGTGTTTTCCCCTCTGCGTTCCCGTTTCCAAACTAAACTCAATAGACTGTCTCAGCCCTCAGCACATTTTTCCTCGCCATGTCCCTCTTCCCCAGCATCCAAGTGGCGGCCCAATCCGAACTTGACGCCGTCCTCGACGTCCCCCCTCGCCTCCCCATAGCCGAGGATCTCCCTGACCTCCCATACATCGAAACTATCGTAAAAGAAACATTCCGCTGGCATCAAGTCGCTCCCATGGGCCTCCCACATACAAACACCTCCTCCGACACCTACTCTGGCTACCATATCCCACAGGGCTCCATCATCCTCGCTAATATCTGGGCCTTCATGCACGATCCATTGACCTACCGCGACCCTTTTATCTTCCGTCCAGAACGGTTTTTGGGTCCCGAGGCGGAACCGGATCCAAGGAGTCATGTTTTTGGTTATGGGAGACGGATTTGCCCAGGGAAGTACATGGCGGAGAGAGCGTTGAAGATTACAATTGCGAGCACTTTGGCAGTGTTTAGTATAGAGAAAGAAGGGGAGATAGAGACGACGTTTTGTCCGGGGTTGCTAAGTCATCCTAGCCCATTTAATTGTAGCATCAGGGCTAGGTCGGGGGTGCATGAGGGGGTGGTGAGGGGGTTGGAGGAAAGGCTCGTGGCACAGGGGGACGGCATGGGGGATGCGGAGGAGTTGAAAGGGGTGAAGTGGTAGAGAGGTAGGTCAATATTTAGGAGTAATTGACTGAGATCTATAACTAATTCGCACATTTCTCAACAAGGTCATGTTCAAAGTTTAAAGTAATTAGTAATGCTGCTGTAGTATTTAGTGAATAGTATGGACTATTACAATTTGTGGATGATAAGGCCAAGAGGTTTCCCATTCTATGGCGCGGCTTACATTGGCTGGGCTAACCTCCTGAACTCGCCTCTCATGCCAGAATTCAAGCAGCAGCGCAGAAATCGGTGTGATTTGTGCAGTTGGAACTGGAATCTACCAAACACGCGCCTAGTGCATGCAATTCAATGCTTTGTGATATGAGTGTCGCACCAACCAAGCATTTAATTTACGCTGAGTACAAATGGCATGCACTGTTCACTCAGAGGTTTTGAGAACCGGGCACTCAGCGGGGTCGAATGTATTGGGAACAGTCTTTGGCTGATGGCTGGTTCCAGCCACCCGAATTATGCAGCTAGTTACATAGTTAGTTAGTTACGATTTTGTCGATTATGGCGGTTGTTCCGTTATAAAGGGATATACATTCCTACTAACTAGTTAAGCAACAAAAGCCTAACTAGTGTAGGATCAAAAGTTACCTGCTTACAGAAAGCGGAAGCTGAAACTGCATG